CTGGGAACAAATGCTGATAATCTGAGATGCTGGTTGGCCATTGTGTCTTCTGCTCCCAACCTGCTGCTCTTCCCTTCCTTTCTGCAGATCTCCCTGGTCAGCCAAGAGCCAGTGCTGTTTGCTCGCTCTATTGCCGATAATATTTCTTATGGCTTAGCTTCAGCCTCCTTTGAGTCGGTTGTTCAGGCTGCCCAGAAGGCCAATGCGCACGCCTTCATCACGGAGCTACAGGATGGCTACCACACAGGTACCAACATCCCTCTGTTTGCACCAAAAGCATTCAGTACTGAGGGAGCCATGAGAAGGTAGGGGCTTCTCCTTGCTGTTGCTTCAGCTGTGCTGCCTCCAGAGCCCATCTTACAGCAATACAGCCATGTGGGTCAGCACAAGAGAGAAGTCGGGGCTTGGATGATCTCTCAGGCTCAGTGACTTCTTGTTCTGGGTCTTTCCATGTGCATCAGTCCCTCACACACTGGGACAACAGTGGAGAACTTTCTGCTGGAGGGAAGGACTGCAGCCTTGAAGGTGTTTAGTACATTTCAACTGCTTTGTTAAGTGAATAAACAGAATAGCATTTGCTTCATCTTTGCTTCAGAGCATTACACTGTTCTGGTGTTGTTGGCTGGGTGCTGAACTTAATGGCTACTGTTGATTTTTATCTTGACTGCGCCTTCTCCTCTTGATCCAACAGAGGCAGGTGAAAAAGGAGCTCAGCTATCAGGTGGCCAGAAGCAGAGAGTGGCTATTGCCAGGGCCTTGATCCGAACCCCTCCCATCCTAATCCTGGATGAAGCCACAAGTGCACTGGATGCAGAGAGTGAACATGCGGTGAGTGGGTGACTTGGGTGTCTGAGCTGAAGAAGCAGTCTGGGGTTGGAGGAAAGATTACAGCTTCAATTTCTAGCCCACAGACAAACTTGCAGTAGGGAGGAGTACCTGAGCTAAAATTTGAACTAAGGCACCAAACAAACCATGCTTGTAGGCTAAGCCATGGTTTATCTGGCTGGGATGTGATGACCAAACAGTTCTACCAGTAGTCTCCTTTGGTCTGGCTAGTTCATTGGCACAATGAAAAGCTGGTTCAAAGTGCTGGCATAAGGACAGGCTTCCCAGTGCTAGAGGATGAGTGCTGCACAAATGTGATCTCAGGGCAGTTTGTAGGCTTGCAGGATGGGGTGAGGCTCTTCAGCAGAGCTAGCACTATGTGGCCTCCAGATCTGCACCCCAGCTCTAACAAGAGCTCAACATACAAGATCAGGCCTGTCACTTTACCACTCTGTTACCAGCAGTGGAGGTGTGCATTCCCCATCTGAAAGGTGGCTGCATTGAGAGAGAATTTGGGGCTGCACAGTGAGATGGGATGGCCATAGGGCTACAGGGGGCCCTGCCTTTGCGTCCTCAGCATAACCAGAGGAGAACAAACCTCCTGTCCAGAGATTTCTTAACTCAGAGCCACCAAGCTGCTCTCCTCCCCTCCCAACACAGTGCCAGTGATGCTCATGCACTAACATCTTTTCTTCCCTCAACAGATTCAGCAGGCGATTTACGGTGACTTGCAGAACCACACAGTGCTTGTCATAGCTCACAGGCTGAGCACTGTCGAGAAGGCACACAACATCATTGTGCTGGACAAGGGCCGCGTGGTGCAGCAGGGCTCACACAAGGAGCTCATGGAAGAAGGAGGTCTTTATTCCAAGCTGGTGCAGAGACAGATCCTGGGGCTTGAGGCGGGTAGCACAGACAGCCGCCAACCCACAGCCCGGGGGGATTCAGCGAAGGCGCCCGGCGGGCTGGAGGGAGAGTTCAGGATAGACCATTCCCTCCCAGCTGTGGCACAGGACGACTGTAACAACACAGCTCAGAAGTGAGAGCAGCGAGGGCTGGGGCTGGAGACGCATGCTGGGACGCAGCGGCAGGAGGTGGCTTGCCGACGGGCCGGCGCGCCGCACAACGTGCCCGTTTGCTCATCCTGCGTGCGCCACACACCTTTGCACACACACACAGCCACACACTATAGAGCTTCCTGCATTACTGCCCAGTGGGCAGATGCCTGCTGGTTAAACAGGGAAACAGATTTGGGAGTTGGGTCTTTAGCAATTCCCAGCATTTCTACTGGGTTTCTTTTCTTACTACCAGTAATTCCTCACAACTGGGACTTTTCTTCCATTGATATGCATGTGTAACTGATATTAACTGTAATGGATGTAAAATGCATGCGCGGAGGGGAAGTTCCCCTCCAGGAATTCAGGGGGTGGCTCTTGTAGCCAGATAGAAAAGCAGCGGCTGGAGAAGGTCCTGCTCCTGCTGTCGATCTGTGGAGCCAGTCTGAAGTCTGTAGGGATCTCCCTTCAGCTTCAGTGAAAACTGGATCACTCTCGTGGGGCTGAATGCCAGGAGAGTTTTGCACTGAGTGCCTGCAGGCTCAGGTTCACAACCAAACAGCTGCTGAGTTTGTTTCATGTAGTAACCATCCTTTCTGGAATAAGCCAGGGGACCAGGAGGCAGGTGTTACATTTAGATTTGCTCGTGGTGCTTGGTGGGTATTTGATTTTGTTTTTAAGGATGAAGAGTTTTACCCTGATTGGGTTGGGGTGAGCTTTTTTTGTTGTTGTTGTTGTTTTTTCTTATATTTCCGTGTGCACTACACAATGTCTGTCTGGCTCCAGCATCCTCTCAAATTTGGTCTGTTATTTCAGTATTTTTTTATATCTCACAACCCTGGTGCTGGTTTGAAAAACACTACTAAAGACAGGCATAAAATACTAAAAGATAGCACTTTATAAATTCCACTGATGCTTTGTTCAGCTTCAGGCAATGCTATTGACTTCGTTGCATGGGAAACCCATACACTCACTTTCCTTGAAGTCAAACTTCCTCTGCCTGAAGTTGAAAATGTATTTCTTTGAATACTATTTATTAACTTTGAGTAAGAGTGAAAGAAAGAAAGCTGTTGCTCCTAGCCCTTCTGCATAATGGCTCTGGCTTTGTAGTTTTATCCTGCCATAGATTAGTGGTGAAGCTTATGCAGGCAGGCAGATGCTATTGAAAAATAGCATTGGATTTTATATGGGAATGATTGACTCAGAATGTGCATCGTTAAGAAATGATCTCAAGCACTTTAGCTCTCATGTTTTCCAATATTTGAATGCTGCTGTGTTTTCCTTTTTGGCAGTTTTGTTGTTGGTAATGTTTTGTTTTTGCTCAGTAATGTTTTACAAACTCTTTAGTGTCCTTGAGGAGGGATGCTCTAAAGAAAAATAAAATACTACCTCTGCCACTAAATACTGAGCCCCAGTGGGGGCTGTGTTTTTGCATTCAGAATATCTGGAACTTCAAGGTAACATTAATCTGGGGGTGATAGACAGACACCCTTGTGGGGAATAAGAAGAACTACCTACAGAGAATTGGGTTTCTAACAGCTGTGAAACACTAAGAATAACCTATTCAAGAACTTGTTTTCATCCCAGATCCCATCTGATAGTCAGTCTCACACAAAAGGACAGGCAGTATAACCTGTTGTCAAAGCACAACACTCTGTAGCTGAAGTCTTTTTAGCTACTTGCTTTTGTGATATGATAAAAAGCTGTGCCTCAGGAGGAGAGCTCTCTTTGGCTTATCTCCCTCAATTTCGGAGGGAATCACAATCCGAAGCCTCGTTTAAGTCATTCATCATTCAACACTTCCCTAAATGGCCAGTATATTTCTGCCTGATGAAAATCTTCATTGTCGGTATGAAGAGTTTGGAGATTCCACCCAGCACCAGAGGGCAAGCAATTAAATCTGCATTCTTATCAGTAGCTGTGAGCAGAATGCAGACAGTGGTTTGTAGAAGTGGAATTGATTGCTGGTTAATTGGAAAACTGGGGGAAGGGGGAAAAGGGTAACCTGGGAATGAGGGAAGCCAGCACCTGGGAAGTGCTGTTAGGACAATGCTTGTTACTACATAAGATGGCAGAAAAGGGGAGATCCTGTCACGTGTGCCCCACCAGGCAGTGCTGCAAGAAGGGGAGTTGAAGGATACACAGGGATTAGCCTTATTGCAAAGGCTACAGGAAATTTTGAGAAGGGATCCCTGCTTCCCAAGTCCGGCGTGCCAATAATCCCAGCATTGTACTCCAAAATCCAAAAAGCTTCAACTGAAATGACACAGAGAAGGAGCAGCTTGTCTCTGCTAGTGGCTCCAGGCCAACCTGATAACAGGAACTGATTTTGTGCATTGCTCCGGGTGCTGAATTCTGTCTTTTGCATCCAGATAACTCAAGGCTGCTCTTCCCTTGAGCTTTACAAGTTATTTTATTGTTCTGTTGGCATGTGACAAGTGGATCTGCGTGCATGCCAAAGCTATGAGGGTTTTCCATCCAGCAGTACTAATCTAATGCAGACATTTCTGCTGGCCAAATCAACATAAATCCTGTGACTATACTGAAAATCCTGCTTTTCAAAATCATTCCAGATTTCTTTTCATGATGGGTCTTTCATACCTCACAGAACTGTCACCACCTCAGAATATGTCTGTGATGTGATAACTGGGGTCAGAGGTGCCTGTTGGCCAGAGGATGTGCTTACCTTGGTGCAGCAGTGGCAGTTCCTTTAGTGCTGGAACCTGACTGCTGCAAGTCGTTGGGCCACACTGTCTGTGGGCAATCTATACAGTCTAGAAACTGTATAGGCCACTGTTTCCTCTGAGAGCCTGCAGTGTAGTATTTTATGGCTGTGAGTTTACCCAGAGCTGATGTTTACATGGGAACACGAAAAAGACTGTTCAGGCACTTATTGAGGACAGTGATGCAGATAAGTTTTTCTTCTCAAAGGGAACTTAGATGGGTTTATCTGAAACCTTAACTTGTGGAGTGCACCTTGATGACCGTCATGGTAGAGCTGGAAACAATGAGTCACCTGAAAGCATACATGATTGTAAAGGTTGACTCCGTGCTCCATAATAGGTTGTTTTCCTCACTGTTAATAAGCTTAAACCATTCTCTGTAATATGTCTAACCACAGATTTATTTAAGTATTGGACAGCCCTATCCAAGATAAAGTTCAAGAACAGATCCTGTAATACATACAACCAGAGATTGATTTGATTTAAACATTAGAGGACCTTATCCAAGACAAAGTTCAATAGTAGATCCTGTAGTCTTAGCCATCCCCCAAAGACACATGTTGACCTTTGTACCTTTGCACAAACAAGGTGTGTGGCTGAGTGACCCAGTAAACTGAAACGCAGCATGATGGAAAAAAACATAGCCATGTTTATTCCAGCAACTCATTTCCCAGTGCACCAAACTGCCTCAGCATGCAGTTGAATGTGTTTCAGAGGCTGGGCTTTCTAGGTCTTCAGCAGGTCTGGAAATACCACAAGCAAATACACAGTGTTTCCAGTTCAGGTTCAGAGCTGCATCTTAGTCTGCCCTTTCTGCTCTAGCTTCACTGTGAGCCTAAGGAATGCAGATGCAGGTATAAAACCTGTTTCTCTTTTCATGCCTGTGGATTCCTGAGTGGAAACAGCACTGTCAGTTAATTCTTGCCCTTTCCAACAGAACTACTCCTCCTCTTCCAGAATGCTGAATATGCAGGTCTTTTTCATATGTGAAGGAATTTAAATCATAAAATCTAGACAGAAGCATGGGCTTCAAAATAAAAGGAAATTAAATTGCAAATAAGCCTGAGAACTTACCTAACTATTGAGCAACCAGACTAATAAGGGTTAATAAACTCCAAAGATTAGACTTGCAAATTCAGTCTCTACATAACCAACCAGTTTTTCCAGGAGAAGGAAAGAAGTTGTTGTGAAGGTGACTTGCAAAATATGTCTAAATATAATAAATGTGCATACACGTAGTGCTACTGACTGTAAAAGAATATGAGATGACAGAACGAAATCCAGGATCAGGTTTTAAAAAAAAATAAAACAAATCTAACATTTAAATTAAACTGGGCTGGGTGCCAGTTCTCCCCATGACTGAAGCCTGACTCCTTATTAATCATGACATGTCTTCCACTGTAGCGTTCTGAATGTTTTTTGTTCTACTTCTCCTCTAATAAGAAATCACAACTTCTATACTTTACCTGCTTTCATTTTTAATGTTCGTAAATACTGTCACCTTTTGAAAGGATTTTAGCAAAAGTAAAGAGGATTCAGAGCTTGGATAAATCTGATAAATCTCAGATTGTAGTACCCCGATATTTGATGATCCCTGTAGCCAAAAATTCTATTTTATCTTCTATTCTTCACATTCTGCCTAAGTGATGTGCTGCCACAAAACCCTTGAAGGCTGCTGAGTTGAAAGCCACCTTCCAACTTGCCCAAGTAGAATACATATTCCAAAGCAGCTGACCCTTATTTTGTCTCTCAACTTCAGTTGCTTTTCTGGCCAAACTCACAGATGCTGATCAAAGTACTAAAAACCACCAGATGTTTAATACTGACAATCCTCTCTGACATCTCCAGAACCCAAACTCACCTGCATAGGTGCATGTGTGTTTTCAAGATCTGTCGTATTTGAGCACACATAAATTATGTTTTCCTTGTGCTACGTTTTGTGAGGACTTCATCGTTCTACATGATGAGGCTTTTAACTAATTTAGTACTGATTACCATTGACAGATTCAAATAACCATTCCATAGTAACTAGAGCACTAAAACAGAGCAGATCCCCTTAGAAGATCACTGCAATACTGAACCATCTTTCCTGACAGCATACTGACAATACAATGATAACAATGATAACAATGCCCTTCCCCAGAGATACTCACCCTTGGTACCTCTAGAAGCACTACTCAGTGTGAGCTCCCCCTCTCCACCCTCAGTGTGGGACTGAGCAGTTATTATTAATTTTCATTTTAAGCAAAAGGCCTATGGTTAAGAGAAGCTGACAGCATTCAGGATCACACAGAAAGGCAGTGGTAAGACTAGATTTACAACATGAAGCTGAGTCAGACTCTTCTAAACCACACTCCCCCCATACCAATTATCTAGCTATGCTATGCTAAAATCATCCTTGAGAAGAAGGGCTTTCTTTTAACCCCTCAACTAATTCCTGTTTATATATGTGTATATAAGTGTATTTGCATGTGTGCACAGATGTACAGAATGGGGTAACAGAGTGTAACTGCATTTTTGACAGGCATGTGCTAACACACTATATGACATCATGCTGGCATCGCAGCTACCTCCTGGTTTAAGTGACAAGGTCAGGCTGTGAAAACCCATGTCACCACCAAAGGGTACAGCTTCTTACTCATCTTTGCCCTGAGCAAAGCACCCACACGGGGAACAGCACAACACATACCACAGCACCACGTGGGCATGCTGACGTGGAGGAACGGACAGATGCCCATATCTCTAATTGTGTTCTCCCCACCCTCAGCAAGCACAGCTGCCAGGTGCACAGCCCTTTCCTACCTGCTCTGGGTGTGCTCTACTTGCATCACACTTGGATGAACTGTGACGAATTGGTGGTCCTTGGACCTGTGGGATAACAGACAGCTGAGTTTAGTTGCAGGACAAACCCCAAATATTCAGCTGTCATGTCTTCATTCATGTCTGCCAGGAAGTACTGGGTCTGAATGAGACCCACATCATTATAACTAGATAGGATTACAACAGAGATTGATTCAGTTCATGGTATGATTTTTCAGTTAGATCAAAAATGCTAAACACCAAGGACAGTGCCACACGGCCATTTCCTATCTGGCTCATTTGGTTCATCCTGGTTCTCTCTGCAGTCACACACATGGAAACCAGCACACCCACACCCACAATCAGCCACAGAACCAGTGCAGGAGGTGGTGCATGCCCAGAGATGCATACAATCTCAGCTATGCTAACACAATTAATTATTTCCAGGCATAATTGTATGCATCAGCCACGCTATCATCAGCGGTAATTGGAGAGCTGCTGCTCCTGAGTGTTACCACAGAGCGCACAGCAAAGTGGTGATGATGTGCACTTTTGCAGGTGTAGATTCATTGAATCATTTGAGTCGCAAGGGACGTTGAAAGATCACGTAGTCCCACTGCCTGCAGTGCACAGGGGCACCCACAGCTCCATCAGTGCCCACAGCCCCGTCCTCTGACCGCGGGTACCTGCAGAGATGGGGCACCGCCACCTCCCTGTGCACCCACTGCCCTCAGTACAAAAACCTCTTCCTTTTACCCAGTCTAAACCTCCTGTCTTTAAGCTTGAAGCCATTTCCCCTTCTGCTTTCACAACAGACCCTGATAAAGAGCCCGGCCTTCCTTTCTCGCAGCCCCACCACACGCTGCCAGCCGCTCTCAGCTCTGCGCTCCCCTCCACGCCGTGCAGCCCCAGCTCTCAGCCCGCCAAAACGCTTCTTTTGAGGTACGCCTTTGTTTAAAGCACCTCTATAAAACGCGCCTTTGTTGGATCACTTCTTGACCCTCGTGCTTGAAGAAAGTGCTCAAGGCGGACAAAGGGCCAGCACCAAAGCTGGGCAAGTTACCATTTTTAGCTATTTTTAACCTAAATGGGTATTCAGCCTCAAACAATAACGCAGTCCCTCTTTTGTGCTTCGCTGTGACCACGTCGCAGCCCGGGGAGGAAGCCGAGTTCGACAGTTACACCGATTTCCCTCCTCACTCACAGCAGCCAGACGGGCGCCCACCGACCGGCGGCGCGTCTCTGCGGCACCGCGACGGCGTCGAAGACCGAGCCGGACGACGCGCACGGAGCCGAGCGCCCGGCCGCGCGGCCACACCGCCCCGCTTCCCGCCCTTTGGGTGCCGCCCCCCCGCGGCGGCGCGGCCCGGCCTTCTCCTCCCCTCCCGCTGCCGCTCCGCCCCCCCAGCAGGGGGCGCCCAGGGCGGTGCCCGGCGGGTCGGGGCGGTGGGGCCGAGGCACTTCCGGTCGGCGGGAGCGGGGCCGCGCCGCCATGGCGCTGGACGCGGGGCGGCTGGAGGGGCTGAGCCTGCAGGAGCTCAGCGCGCTGCTGGACGATGAGGAGCGGCTGCAGGGAATGGCCCGCGAGATGGAAGAGGTGAGCGGAGCGCTGTGCGGCCGCACCGCCGGGATGCGGTTTTGCCCTCGGTGCGCCCCGGCACTCGGCCGCCCGTTTCCCCCCTTCTCCCCTCCGTCCTCCCCGCCTTTGTGCGGCGGCCGGGCCGGGGGGGCTGACAGCGCCCGCCTGCTGCTGAGGAGCCGCCGCCGGAGTGAAGGTGGCACCGGGTTTTTCCTTATTTATTCCCTGTTGTTTTTTTCCCTTGTTGGACCCCCCCCCACTTCCCCCCCCCGTTGCCCTTTCTTATATTTCCTCCC